GAAAGTGCAGAGAAAAGAGTAATCTGTGTAGTTCCTGTAAGCAGGGTGCTTCTCTCTCTTTTTTTTTTTTTTTTTTTTTTCCCCCCCCTTCTCTCTCTCTCTCTCTCTCAATTTGCAGCCAGCTTTCTGGATAAATTGCTCTGAGGGAGAGGGTCATTTCAATAACGGCTGCTGTGCTGCCCTAGATAAAGGCTGCTATTTTGATCAACCATTATGTGAACATGCAATGGGAAGGGAAAAAAGCCTCTTTGCCCTGCCCTGCTGTACGGTCATTTAAGTGCTAGTTATTCTCTTCAGCAATCCCTTGCAGCCAAGGATGATTGTCGTCCATTTTTCATGGAAAATGCCTCTTAGATAAAAGACAGTTTACTGTCTTTTATCATGCAAAAGTTTCCACGCATCAATTTCCACACTGCTTTTGACAGAACAGGGCCTTGATCCAATGGCAAAGAAACCAAAGCAACTGGTCATCTCATTCCACTGCAGCCTTCATCCACCTTCATAGCCATTGAGATCTAACCTCTTTTTCCACCTGCTCTGCCATTGAGGACTTGTAGACCCATGATTGGGGGCTGGGCAGGCTTATTGTAGTGGTAACCTGTACTCGCAATGTCACAGCACTGTCAAAGGATATATGTGGCTTTTCAGGAGGGAGAGCATTGCCATTTGCTGTCCTCGCATCCTGGTGGTGGTGGTGCTGCATAGATTCATAGATTGTAAGGCCAGAAGGGGCCTCTGAAGATCATTGGGTCCAGCCCCCTGCACCAAGCAGGAAAGATAACTGGGGCTCAGGTGACCCCAGCAAGGTGACTGTCTAGTCTCCTCTGAAAGATTTCTAGGGTAGGTGATTGCACCACCTCTGGAGGGAGCTAATTCCACAGTCTGGACACCCTGACTCTGAAGAAGTTTTTCCTAATGTTGAGCCTGAATTGATCTTCTAGGAGTTTCTAGCCATTACTGCTGGTTTTCCCCTCAGGTGCTGGTTTTCCCCTCAGGTTGCTCAATAAGCCCTTGATGTACTCTCTTCGTGGAGTGGTAAGCTGCTACCAGGTCCCCTCTCAGCCGCCTTTACCTCAGGCTGAAGCGTCCCAGATTCCTCAGCCTTTCCTTGTATGGCTTACGGTGTAAGACTCTGATCATACGGGTGGCTCTTCTCTGGACTCTTTCAAACTTGTCCATGTCCTTGTTAAAGTGTGGTGCCCAGAACTGGATGCAGTACTCCAGCTGCAGTCACACAAGTGCTGAGCAGAGCGGAAGAATCACCTCCTTGGTTTTGCTGGAGATGCAGGGTATTATTTGCCCTACTGGTTACAGCATTGCACTGCCGACTCATATTCATACTGTGGTCTATTATTACCAGGTCCTTTTCATTTGTGGTGCTGGTCAGTTTGGCGCCACCAAGCCTGTAGGTGTGCAGGGGGTTGTTTGTCCCCAGGTGGAGCACTTCACATTTTTCAACATTGAACCTCATCAGGTTCTGATCTGCCCAACTTGCTAAGCTGTCTAGGTGCACCTGTATCTGTAGCCTATCTTCAAGCGTGACCATGCTCCCCCATAACTTGGTGTCATCCACAAACTTGGCCAGTGAGCTCTTCACCCCCACATCCAAATCGTTAATAAAGGTGTTGAAAAGTACTGGACTGAGCACCAACCCCTGAGGGACACGGCTGCCCATTTCTCACTAGGATGACACAAATCCATTCACTATGACTCTCTGGGTCCTATCCTGAAGCCAGTTTCTCACCCATGTGACTGTCTTAGACTTAAGCCCACAAGCCTCCAATTTTCTCCTGAGGACATTGTAGGATACTAGATCAAAGGCCTTTTGGAAGTCAAGGATTACAATGTTTACCTGCTCTCATGTCCAGGTGGTGAGTTACCTGGTCATAGAAGGAGATGAGGTTGGTAAGACAAGACCTTCCCGTGATGAAGCCATGCTGGCTGTTATTCAGAATCGTACCTTCTGCAACCTTATTGCAGATGGACTCCTTGATGAACTTTTCTAGGATTTCCCTAGGATGGAAGTTAGGCTGATTAGCCTATAGTTACGTGGGTCCTCCCTCCTGCCCTTCTTGTGGATGGGCACAACATTGGCCCTCTTCCAGTCCTCAGAGACTACTCCAGAGTGCCAAAAGGTTGTGGAAGAGTTTTGCCAGGGGTTCCGCAGTGACTTTGGCCAGTTCCTTCAGCACTCTCGGATAAAGATCATCTGGTCCCACTGACTTGTATATGTCTAATTTTTTTTAATTGGTCATACACCAATTCTATGCCAATTCTTATTCCTACCGCACTCATCCTTTACTCTACCTGGCGTAGTTTTTCCCTTGGTCCAGTGACAGATCGAGGCAAAGTAGTCATTCAGGAGTTCAGCTTTCTCCTGGGCATAGGCAATATGTAGGGGAAGCACTGGGGGGCACATGACCCCCTGGCAGTGCTGGCCTCACCACTGGTGGCAGCTGCAGATGCTCGCCAGCTCCAGCTCTGCCACTGGCAGTATCTGTGGGAGCTCACCAGCTCCGCCCCTGCCACCGCTGGCTTCAGTGGGTGCCCCCCCCCCCAGACTCATGAGGCACCGGTTGGCCATGCTTCTGGATACCGGTAACCAGTTCTCCTGAGTTGTTGAGCAATGGCCCCACACTCCCATTTGTTTTTCTCCTGTTCCCTATGTATCTAAAGGTAATTAGCTTACCCCTGCTTATTTCAAAGCTAACCTTCCCTAAAAGTTATTTGACTATCCACCACCTGTGGACATGCTGGGTAGCAGAATCCACATAGCAGAATCTACTATGCAAATAACTAGGTCTGTTCTGTTCCTTCCTACTTAATCCAACAAAGGCTGTTCTACCCTTCTTGCACTCAAAAGACTTCTCCTCAATTGCTGGACTGACCCCTAGTGAAACATTTGTATACTTAGAATGAGCCAAGACCCACTTTACCGCATGGCCTCAGTGCTTCCATCTGAGCTGTGTACATGAAATCAAGGGCAAAATTTAGCCCCTGCATGTGCAAATGATGGTGCCACCGGTGCAACAAACATTGAGACTCCTGTTTCAGCAGCCTCAAATGTGCATGTTTTTTGGGCACTTGAATCATTTGAATGCATGGATGAACACACAGCCATGACCTGGCTGCCAAATCTGAGAGCAGGATTGAGGAACTCATGAAAGTACCTAGATATGTACTGTTATGAATTAATGACATGGTGTCCATATGCAGCCTCCACATTTTTACCTAAGATTTGTGCAAATCTGCTACAAGTGTCAGAGCTCCAGTCTCTCTTTTTTAAAAACCCCAAACAACCAAATCGGTGGAGAGAAGTCTGCAGAAGAGACACAGAAAAAAACAGAAGCAGAAGGTGAGGAAAATAAAAACAAGTGGAGCAAAGAATGTCATGTCAGACCGAAGACTTTGAAAGAGACCGATAAAGAGATACAACACTATGGCAGATAAATGTAGATACCAGAATGAATTGGTAAGAGAGGAAAAGAAGACATTGTTCTCAAAGAAGCTTAACCTGTAGTGCCTTGTCATACCAGGAATGTTGGAAGAAGAGGAATACTAAAGAATTGGGGGGCGGGGAGCAGGGGAATATAACAGCTATTGAGTGACTGTATATGGGCATTTATACATATGCTCCAGGAGTATAGGGGGAGGGGCTTTCGGAACCACTCTAATGAAAGCGCCTGGCATATTTTACGTATCAGCATCCTCGCGCTGAAAAACAGCAGCGGGGGTGCTTTTGCTAAAAGCTCCCCTGCCACCACTTTTCATCACGGGGTCATGGATACATGAGACACTGGAGTCTGCTGGAGCACGGTAATTACCACACCCCAGCAGACTCCATTTAATTGAGTCTGCTCCAAAGCGCTGTAATTGCAGTGTGTCGCAGCAGCCTCACTGCATGTGTATAGGTGCCTTTTATGACACTTATGTGATGATATTTTTATATATGTATTTGTACAACATAAAGCAGAGAGAAAAATGGGGAGGGGATAGTAACTTTGGATCACCATTTTTCTATTGGCAATCTATAAGTGAATGGCTTCATAGGCAGGTGAACTTACCCCTCTGAGACTCATAATTGCTTTTGAATTTTATATTGTCCGTGAAATATTGGTATTAAACAGCAGCTGCTTTGGAAAAAACACTCCCTGCTGACTATTTGTGAGTAAAATATTTTATTACATATTCAGAACATAGTTCTACAACTGCTTCCGTGTCTGATCTGCACTGCAATTGGCATAATGCAATTTTTTATATAAAATGAGATTATTTTAAGAAATTTAAATATGTTGTAGTCACCCAAAACAATCTTGCATTTTTACAGAGGAATTCCTTAATGAAAGTGATTCAAATTTTATTGGTAATATTTTCTCAGAACCTCTGACAGTTATTAATCTGATTGTTGCAGCAAATTAAATGTGGAGCTGGTGCTCAATATATTCTGTCTTTTGGGCTAAGTATAGACAGTCAAAAAGCCCAAGGCTGAATCGATTCAGTCTTTGCAGGCTAGTTTTAAACTGAGTAAATTGAACTGATGAGCAAGTGAACAGACATTCTCTTTTGATTCCAGAAATGCAGCCATATGCCTGCAGTAGCTTAAGCCAGAGCCTGGGGGGTGGGGTACTAGAGAATGCCTCTCTGCTCAGCTGAAGCAAACAGCTTGGGCCAAGGCTAGCCTGCACACCCTACAAGAGTGGGGAATGTGTAGGGGAGGTGCAAAACATCCTGGGATGCTGGGAGACTGAGTCAACTTGAATCTGGAGGGGATCTGGCACAGAAGTTCAATAAACCGATATAACCTAATTCAGTTAGGTCTGATATTACGTCCATCCAGGTTTATCTTAAATTGGTTTTGGCCATTTTGAAAGCAGTTGATGTACACTGAATTTCTTTTTTTGTTACAGATTTGAACTGGTTTCTGATCACTTATGTCACTTCTGTCCCTAGCCTTAAAGTTTGTTATTCTTGCTCTCTCCTTTTTTTTTTAATTCTCTTTCCTAAACAGAACAGCTCGTAATAAAAATGGAATTTACTCACATGACCAGGCTTTGAAATGTAAGGAGATTCAGGACAACGTTTTGTTTTCATCTGTCAAGAAGAAAAGGTACGTGTTTGCTTTGCTCTCTGCTTTTTTTTTGTTTGTTTTAAAAAGAAGACTAAGAGTGCTCTGTTCTTGCCTAACTCTCACTGACATTAGTACAGAGTCATGCAATAAGAAATAAAAAATGCACAGCCAGTGTTTGGCTGAATTTTTTTGGTTGGATTTATTCTGGATTTGCACTAAAAAGAGAAGAAATCATCATAATACATGGCAACAAGATTTCTCATTCTCTGCTAAGAGCCCAAGGAGACCTCTGTTTCTTCAAACTTAGAATCTTAAAAATCATAGTAAGTTATTATATTTTCATTCTTAGATATCTTTTCTTGATTAGCTCACTCCCACCAACCAATATGCAGGCACAAGAATAGATTTTCCCCTCCCTTCCCCCCCACCAAAATGTCTAGAAATGAGCTTGTATTAAAAACTAGTTGTTATATATTGTAACTGTGGTATTAACTTCCAATAGGCTAGTTGTTCAAGTGTATTGGTAACTTCATGGTAAAAAAACACCTCCATCTCTATTATGCCTCACGACTTTTACCACTGGCCTCGCTAGAACCTGCATTCAGTACAGGGGAGGAAAAAAATCCCTTATATATTTTCTATGAGTAGACAACGCCACAGACATCAGTGCATTTCCTTTACCTACACCATTGCCTTGCCAAGACAGATGCACCATATTTTTTTCACACAAACACACACACCTTTTTCTCCAAAAACCAGTTGCTGGTATTTGGAGTGAATATTATATGCAAGAAGTATGGCAAAAGCAGGTTTTTTTTGACACTGTGGCTGAAGCCACAGTACCAGAGGTACCAGAATACTAAGCAGGCTCAGTTCCCTAGTTGCTGCTACCCTGTTATTTATTACAAGGAAGGATCTTTTTCTTCTTCGTTCTGCCATTCAGAAACAAAGCTTTTGAAGCTTGCATGTTGTATGTGAGAATGTGGCAGATAAAAGAACAATCAAGCTGCTGAAAACCAAAAAATGACATGCATATATTGTACTGTTTTGGAGTTTAGGCTCTCCTTTTGTAAGCCATTGAGGTACTAAAACAAGATGAATGCCAGGATTAATATCAAGCACATCCTTAAGTGTCTTCAAGATCAAGGTCTTGGCTTCCATTTGTACAGTAAACAAATAATATGAAAAGACAGGAAATTATATAAAATAAGTTATCTAGCTTTCCCAGCCTTTCCTCTATCTCCTTCTCTCCCTCTATTCCCTGCCATTTGGTCATTTTCCCTCTCTCTCTTTCACCCCTTTCTTCTAATCTGCTAGTCCTTCCCTTTTCACTTCCCATCCTCTGTTGTGGCTTTTCCCTTCTCTAACTTGCTTTCCTATCTTGTGTCTCTGTCTCCACCTACCGGTAGTCCCTCCTACCAACAAACCTTGTTATCACTTCAGTGGATGAAGTACTATAGCATTGGTACGTCCCTCCCCACCTTCCAGTTGGTAAGACCCAAAGGTGAGATTGGCTAGGCAGAGACCAAATTAGTGCAGCTGGCTTGACATGTTTTATAGAACTTGTTTCAGCATGTCAGGCATTTGGGGCTTTGCACAGAGGCAAGCCTTGAGGGACTGATAATATTCCCGATTTTGAAAAAGTAAGGCTGGAGGAGGAAGAGCTATATCAGTCTGGGGAGACAAAGACTGAATTGGGGGCAAAACCGATCTTTTGGCTAGGTTTGTGGAACAGAAACTATTGCATTGTTCCATGAGTGCTTCAGTTCTGTTTCCCAAGCTGGCAGGAAGCCCTCTTTTTGCTGCCTTTTTTTAATCTACTTCTGACTGGTGAGAAGAATATGTAGATAGTGATTTATTGTGCCATTCTAAAGTGCCTCCAGGAATGATCTGGATTTTTTTGACCTCCTGAGTTGATAGATTCCAGGATAAATTAGCTAGTTTAATGTTTGACAAACAGTTTGATAATAAAAAATACTGTGCAAATTCTAAGTATGGTTATACAGGCATGCGTTGGTGGTGATAGATAGCCTGAGGTGCTATGTTCACTGAAGTTTTTCATTTTTATTCCACAGCAAGCCCTAAATATGCTAAGGCCTTTAAATGCTGCCAAAACACCTATTAATTTTTAACTGCAAAAAGATAAGAGATCCTTCCTTTCTTTTGTAACTCCCTCTTCTTTGCATTCATTTCTTTCTCACAAGTTAGCTGTCAGCTTAGGGTGCCCACCCCTCATCACTCCTCAGTGTTCCTGCCAACTGAACTAGCCTTTCTCTGGCAGGTATTATACTTAATGACTTGTAAGCGGGGTTTAGATTGTCCCTCTAACTCAGAGCTTTCCAAACTTTTCATGTTGGTGACACACTTTTTAGACATGCATCATTTCATGACAGTAATTCAGTTCCGGGGGAGGGGCCAAGGGAAGCAGACACGAGTAAAGGAGCTCTGCGGTGCCCTTCCGCAAAATTTTCTGCATTTCGCGCGACACACCTACACACTGCCGCCGACACACTAATGTGTCGCGGCACACAGTTTGGAAAGCTCTGCTCTAACTCTTCCCAGGAGCTCTCTCTTCCCTTCCTCACTGCTGTTGCCCCAAGTTGCTGTTATTCTGATAGTGCTATCACTCTGCCTGTATCCTAGTGTCTCATGGTTACTTTGTACATGAGATGAGAAACCAAGTCCCTTGGGTAGTTGGGAGGAGTCAACTGTAGAGGAGAGTTTCCTAGGGAGGCTTGTTTTTTGTGGTGGTGAAGATGCAGGTTATGGAGAAAGCAAAAGAATGTGATGCACAGTTTAATAGCAATAGTTGTCTTATCCATTCTGTGCAGTAGGGCAATTTAGCTATACATGTGCACATTTTTGGCAAAATGCTCACTAAAAGTTTTAGCATTGTTGTTATATGCTATGTGTGCTATACTTTAAAAAATGCTGTTTAAGTACTATGTATTATCCAGCTATCCAGTCCTGGATGCTAAAAAAAGTCATCTATTTGGCACAGCAATGACATCATACAGTGATGGAGAACAGAACCATGCCAGTGTCACTAGAGCTGAAAAATGAAACCTCAACTGCCATCTTGGCTTGTCTTCACTCCACTCCATTTGAGGAAAGTCCCTGAGGCTGCTTTAAACAAACCATGCTTAAATAGGCTTTGTGAACTGAAAACAAAGCATAAACCAACCCAGATAGAAATGGGGCTTCATCACAACGGTGCAGGGCTCTTCAGCTCTTACCCTGAGGGGGGACAGGGGTGGTTGACAAACTACTAGTAGTTGGCAAAGGCAAGTTGTAACAAACCATAGCCATGCACTTTTCCACAGTGCCTATATGGAGAAAAAATGTATTTATGAAGCCCTATTTACTATTTAAATTACATTGCTGTCTGTAAATCATCCATTCAAGCGTGATAGGGCCTTGATGCACCTTGTACTTTGAGCTGCTCAAATGTTGATCAGTTAGTGCTAGCTTGAGTTTGAACTATTCACATCTTAAAGCTAAAAACCTTCTCTGACTATCCTCAACCTGCACAGCTGTGATTTGCCACTAGAAGCCTGGTGAGCAGGGAAATTGTTTTGGTGCCAGAACTATCTCCAGGGCAGTCGAGTTCAGAGGGTGGAAAGTCTTTCCAGACAGAACAGGAGGGTTTGGAAAGAGACACTGCATCCTGGAATGCTGTAGGACTGACTGCAACTTGGGCAGCTCATCTGTAAGGAGTAGCTACACATTAATGGATCATGAGCTGGGTAATATGGATTGGGGAGAAACCTGCCCTAGAGTGATGCAACTGTAAGTCACCTAAAGTGTGCTTAAAACTAGTTTTCAGGTGTTAATGTACAAACAATCCAGGGGTTAAGAGCTCCAGGAGCAATCTATACATTTAGTGCATAACAAGGCCCTATATCGGAGAAGTTGTGTTCCTACTGCCCTCTTCTGAATGTAGGAAGATAAAACACATTGTGGTACATGTCCTTCCTGGAGCACACCCTTCATTAATAAGCATCTCCTATATTATGCTAGTGAATAGGGTTTTTCTTGAGGTCTTAGGGCTGGCATTATGGATGTGTATGCTTTGCTTTTCATCAGTACCCTAGGCTTTCTGTAGTTTTTGAGTATCATGTCGGACCATGACACTTTTTTTTTCTCCCCAAGCTTATAGTAGTGTTCCTTCAAACTCTGATCTTCATCTAGCTGGCAAGAGTTTGCTATCCAGCTTTCCTCTGCCTTCCCCCTCTTGCTGGATAATACTGTTGCCCCAAGTATTTTTTTTTTCTTTCTGTCAGATTTGTATGTTTGTTTATCTCCAGGTCCCAGTCTGCTCAGTCACTAAAGCTATTTATTGACTGTTTACTACTTTCTCAAATAGAAATGTAAGATGTAGAGTTTCCATGCAGAAACTCCTTTGCTTCCCTTTTTAGCTGTAGATCTTAATGTTAGAAGTGTATGTTACTAAAGACCTTTTCAATGCAACTGATATCTTGGTATTAAGAAAAATCAATGTAATCTATCAAATATTATATCTATCTATCAGATAAACCAAAACAACTGGCTTCCTTATATATTCTCTGAGAGTTGTGGGCTACAGTAAATACGATGTGACAAGTTGCAGCATAGGGTTTTTGGGGTTTTTTTGTTAGTTAGGGGGTTTTGGGGGGGGCAGGGGAGGATTTAAAACCACATCTATGACGCCGTGTGTTAAGAGACCTAATTCAAACCGAAAGAAGGTAGGTGGGCTTTTGGATGACACCCTGAATGACTCTTTCTAGGTAGCAACTGTTCTTGGGAACATTTGCCCCCAAAAAGATTAAATTGTAGTTCCTGCATCTTTCATTTTCTTTGCTAGAGAGAATTATATAGACATGCCTATAAAAATGACACGCATGGGAATATAGAAAAACAAATGGAATCTGTACATTGAATTCATAAGAGAACATTTATTTTCTTCGGACCATATATATTCTACAACTTAGCCTCTTGAAACAGTTTAAGAGAAATGGTTGGGGGGAACTTTTGGTTATATGTATACTTATGCTACTTGGTCCTGTGTCCTATAGGAGACAGACTGCATGATTTATTTTAGAAGATGTTTTACAGATAAACTTTCATCTATATATTGATCTACAGTCTTGGATGAGCAAACTGATCTCTTGGGGGACTGAAGTAAATAAACAAGGAGAAGAAATACAATGCTACATCTTAGTTTGCAATAGTCATCTCTTCAACCGGCATTAAAGTTTAAAATATGGAATGCAAGAGAGGCTGTCTGGCATTATGCAAGCAGTGATCTATATATTAATTTAGACTTGTGTTTTGAAGATGATTTTGAAGTTACTGGGTCATTCAAGATGTGTATAGTCAGATGTCCAAGACTTAAACCTGTATGTACGTCAGAAATTTCTAAAATTAATTTTAGTGTACCAAGTTTGAGAATATTTAATAGGTCATAGCACTTAAGTAATAGTATCATAAATTACAGAGGTAAAATGGGTCCTAGAATTTTGAAGAGTCTTGTTTTACATACCTTATACAAATTAATACACCTATCACTTGAAGGTTTTAAGACCTATATGTATTTATGCAATTGTGTAATTTCCACTGAAACTTGCACTTGTTTTTATTTTAAAGGTATTCTGAAAATTATTACCTTCAGATAGTCACAAAACTACAGCACTGTGCATGGAAAAGGAGGCCAGAAGAATATGAAAAATTTAGGTAATGCCTTTCAAATTATCTCTGTACTATAAAAGCCATAAGGTTCTGTGCCCCCTTGGAACTATTACTGCATTTATTTCTGCATACCATATAGCACTGAGAACAGGGTAAGATTTAAACAAAAATAATGTAGCTCTACCCATGTCACCACATCTTGGGAGTGAACTATTACACTTTCTACAATGGGTCAAGTGAATTCTTAGCTTCAGAAAGAAAAAACTCACTGCGTGTTGGGGGAAAAAACCAAACAAAACATCATAGCCTTATCCTTTTGAGCCTGTCAGTCTGAGAGCAGTCATAAGTGTATAGTGCACATCTTACTTCGGGATTCTAGGTTGCTGTTTATTACTTCTGTTGCAGAAGTGCCAAAAGACCCAAGCAAGACTGATACTGTATGCATCTTGGTTTTGGTCCAGTAAAGCAGATAAAGCACTATCCTAACTCAGGTGTTGTCCAGAATAGGGATTCCTGAATCAAGGCTAGTAAGTTATAATTCCTGGCTTGAAACAGTTTATTATTGAATTTTTAAAAGTACAACTTGAGGTTTGCTGAATCTCAAACTCATCTGACACCAATACACGTACAGCGAGGCTACTCCAATGCACTGTAGTTACAGTGCATCAGAGCAAACTTGATTTAATAGTCCACTGGAGCACAGTAATTACCACGCTCCAGCAAAGTCCAGCATTACGTGCATCATCATCCCCGCGCTGCAAAAATGGGCTTTAGTTAAAGTGCCCCTTTTTTCAGTGTGTGGAGACACTGATACACGTGATGCTCCAGGCACTAATTAGAGTGGCTCTCAGAGCCACTCAAAAGCTCTGCCTTCCCCCGCTTCCATGTATAAACAGCCTTCATGTCTAGTGCTTGACTGCTTGTAATCTGGTCACACTGGTTTTGCAAAAGGGAAAACTGTTGGATCACATTATTCCATGAAATAGACAATGAAATTTTGTCAAGATAATTAAAAAAAGAAAAAGGCTGCCTTTTTTAATTATTTAAAATTCAAGAGGTAGCTAATTCTAATATCCAATATTAATAAAGTCTGCTGCACTATAGCATGAAAATTATTTTTGGAAGCAGACAATGACTCCTGTAGAAATATAAAATATCATTCTGCGCGTGGCTGGTACTGAAGCATCATTTAATGTTGGCACAGCTATGGGAACAGTGTCAGGTCATAGTGTCTGGTACTGAATCTTGTGAGTCTTTCTATTAACAGCATCAGACTTAGATACAAAGATGCATAAGGGGCTATATAAACTTGACATCTTTACGTAAAACTGGCCATATTAATTTCAAACCTGTGCAGCTGAAACTTAGCCTGGGCAAGAGTAATGTATCTGCAGGTGGAGAGTTCCTTGGGAGTCTGAAATGGCCCCTTCCAACCAAATTCCTCAGTATGGTACAGGAGGACTCTTACTTTGATCACAATATGCTCTCTCTTGCTCTAGCACTCTTTTCCTCCAAACTCTGGGCATTTTGAAAAAGTAGACAAGGTTGTTCAAAGATCAGGCCAGAAGTATGCAGTCACAGCTGTGGGTCTCAACAGACGTTTAGGAAACCAGGCTATGCCTTACTGTTATCCAGTGATACAGTGAACAAATATACTCAAGCTAGATTTAACCTAGCTAGTTCAGATGCCACTCTTATAGAAGCACAGGCTTCAACAGTGATTGTACAATGTTTAGGATGCTGGGTACTTAGTAGCTGAAGCCTATAACACAGCTGCAGCATTACTGGGACCTAAACTAATTCAATTGCTGACATGTTCTACAGTCATACTTCTCATGCAGTGTATACACAGAATACTTATCTTACCTTCCCTTCTTGAAATAAGCTTCTTGATATTTCATCCACCAAATTTTAAGTGCAGTTGTTATACTAATTTCCTCAAGATCAGGAAATATAGTAAGATAAGAAGTTCCCCCCCACCTTTTATGCATGTATAATACTATCGCAGGGCACAAAGGTGCCCTGCTCCTAGAGGGGCGGAGGCTGCCTGGGAAGAGGCCCAGAGTGAGAGACGGACAGAAGCCCAGGTGCAGGTTACCAGGGCAACAAGCCAGAGGGTAAATTAGCCTGCACCTGCACATGGTCAGCTGACCAGAAGGGGCAAAGCTCTGGGCCCATATAAACCCCAGGACCAGGCCCAGAGAGGGCAGTTTCCTGCCAGCAGCCAAGGGGGAAGGAGTTCTCCCAGAGCAAGCAAAGGGGAGAGGCCTGTCTGCAGGAGCAGCTTCCGATACTGTTAAGGGATGGAGCATTCCCCGGTAGGATTTGTCTGAGGTTATAGCTGAGCGGCTTGAATTTGTTACAGCCCAGGGGTTTGTGTTTCGTTTATTGTTGTATAAAACCAGTGGTTTGGGTGAGGGTTATTAGGGGATGGAGGAAGCCTCATAAGGGACCCACAGCAGTGTGGGTACCCCAGCACCAGAGAGGGCACAGCAGTTGGGGGGCACAGACCCCAGTGCCAGAGGGGCACCGAGTAAGACAGGGCCACGGAGGACCCAGGAAGGACAAGGGGCCCAAATTATAACAAGGCCCAGACCAAACAACGTCAGTACCATCAGTGAGGCTTGGGGTGTGGTAAAGGGGCGGCTGGAGCCACGCATATAGCCCATAAGGCTAGGGTGCCCCAAAACACCCATTGCAAACGGGACCCACAAGGGGTCTGGGAGCCCCAGGGTCAGAAAGTACAGCACACAGTGTCCAAGAGGATGTAAAGGCAGCCTCCCTACTATATATATTTTCCATCAAAGATGTGGCAGGCAGGAATCGAGGGTGCCCATTGGGCCAACTTGGCATGGTAAAGGGCCTTGGGAGATCACAGCCATCCTGCAGGACCCCATCCCATGACAAATACATGCAGGATGATATACAAGTTACTTTGGGTGCTGTCTGATTGTTATGCAAAAGATATGTGTGTTCTTATAACTCTTCTCTTTTTCAAGGAGCAGGATATTAAAGTTTTATAGATATCCTGCCCCCAGAGCACTTCAGAAACTTGCAAGAATTCTGATTATTTAGCACATCAGAGGAAGGAGTCTTTAAGATTTAATACCTTACTTACTAGCTAAATCTGTGTACACAACAAGCCTACCAGCTATTATATCAGTCTTGAAGCAAGAGCATCCAGAAACTAAAGCTGCAAAGCAGTGCATGGAACAAAGCTGGGAAAAGATTTGGGGGGAGGCAGAGGGAAAAATGGATGCTAGCTTATGTTGGATGGCAAGCGTTTGGTGTACCTGCCTTCTGATTTTTAGACTTTTTACAGAATTTGGGGATAATGGACACTTTTTTTTTGGTGAAGTATATGAAAAATTAAAAGGGCTGCTTGTGCTTTTAAGTTCACATTTGTCTATTTGTACCTCCTTAAGGAGCATCTGTGCTCCTCCATATGTCCATCTATGGGTCTGTTGCCATAGTGCTACTTGGATATTACTCCGTGCTGCTTTCTAAAAGCCCTGTGATCTAGGTGAATATATAATTAATTTTATCTTACATTTTGAGGAAATTCAGTGCAGTGCAGTTGGGTGACAGGAAATGGTGACAAGCTATATGACGTGTTAGAAGGAGGACTAGCACTGCCACTCACATACCTAATCCACTGGAGTTTTCTAATGCCTATATCACTCTGTTCCTAGACAAACTGCTTTACTTCGGTGTTTGCTCAAGTATAAAATGTACCTACCTTACAAGGATACTTAATGTACTATTTTACAGAACACAAACACACTCACCAACCACCAATTAAAAGAACAAATTTGCAGCATTCAAGTACAAAGTAGATAAGATAATGCATTTTTTATAAAGGATATAAAGTCCTCAAAGCATAAATGAACATCTAAGTAATGAGAGCTTCCCCTGTAGATAAGTTACTTTACAGGTGTTCTCTGTGAACATATTTTTGCCCTCTCCTCTGCAGCTAATGGCTGCTGTCAGAATCTGGGTACTGGAGTCACTGGCCCGGTCTGTATGGTAATTGCTACATTCTTAGAAAATAGCACTCACTAACGTTGAGCAAATGTTCTGCCATGTAGCTGTATTTCCCAACAGACCCAGACCAAACAAAGAGATTTGAATTCATATAAAGAACAAGAATGGATCTAGAAAGGAAATATTTACCTTTGTACTTGGGGAAAAATTTAATATATGGCAGCTTTATGCTTCACCACACTAATTTTCCCATTGGTGAGATCTAGCCCACTACCTCCTGCATCTTCTACAATGTAGATGCATGTAATTGTTCCTCTGCCATCTTCACCCCACTCTTCAAGTGCAGGTTTCTTTCTCTAAAGCAGTTAGGGTGAATATGCCCACGTGTATAGCTCAGATATGGTGTCCTCATTCTCAACCTGGCAATGGTCAGTGTTCTGACAGCTGCATGGTAAACTGTCTTCTTACTTACCACTTGGTCATATGCCATTTAAAAAAAAAATGGATTTTATAGGATCTTAGGAAAGTAGAGGTAGAAGGAACCTTACCAAGTCATCTAGTTTACCCCCTGCTCAAGGCAAGATCATCCCTGACTAGACCATCTCAACCAAGTGTCTGTCTAACCTGCTCTTGAAAATTTCCAAGAACGGAGATTTCAGTTTCCTTAAGCAGTCTGTTCCAGTGGTTGACTGTCCCCATAATCAGAAAGTTCCTCCTCATCTCCAAATTAAATTTTCCCTGCTGAAGCTTGAGGCTGTTGCTCCTACTTCAGTGCCCTACAGCCACAGAAAAAAAGCCCTTCTCCATCCTCTCTGTAAATCACCCTTCACATATTTGAAGACTGTTATCAAATCCACCTTCAGTCTTTTCCAAACTATGTAGCCCTAGCCCTTTCAGCCTTTCCACGTAAGTCGTTGTCTCCCAGACATCTAATTATTTTTGTTGCCTGAGCTGGGCTCCTTCTAATCTATCCACATCTTGCTTGAAGTGTGTGGCCCAGAACTGGACACAGTATTCCAAGTGAAGCTTCACCACTGCCAAATAGAGCAGAAGAATTACTT